ATAGATGGACTGACTGGTGGCCGGTGGGTCCCCAGCAGGCAGCCCTGAGTGGACCCAGAGGTCCCATGTCCCTGAAGTGTCTCACACTTGAAGGGGGAGAAGCAAGAGGTGAAGTTGCATGGGAAGAAAGGGAATGGATTTGGCTCCACTGAGAGCACCCAAGACCTAGAAGGTTCTTGGCACAAAATGTTGCTAAATCAATTCTTGTGAATGCGTAAGTGGCGAGCGGGTCTCAGGAGCCCTGCTTTCCCGCTGCCACTCGGGTCCTCTGACGCGTCCTGACAGCAGCCAAGCAGAGTGGAGGCAGAGGGGCCGGGAAGGGACTGCATGGTTTAGGGGGAACCCTGGGGGCTTGCCTTCCACTTATTGCTGCTTTCATGTATTTATTCAAAATATATTTTTATTGATTTCAGAGAGAGAAGGAGAGGGAGGGAGAGGGAGAAACATCAATGATGAGAGCGAATCATTAATTGGCTGACTTCTGCATGCCCCACCCTGGGGATGTAGCCCGCCATATAGGTATGTGCCCCCAACTGGGAATCGAACCTCGACCTTTTGGTTTATAGGTCGATGCTCAACCACTGAGCCATGCCGGCTGGGCACTGCTGCTTTTCTTAAACCTGAAGTCTCAGAGACACGCACCAACTCCTACATTCAGCCCCAGGATGCGATGTCATCCCCAGCTGGGTCCCCAACATGCTGCCCACTTTCTGGTTCTGAGGCTTCCCTGGCATCCACATCCCGGCCGAAGCTCTTCCGGGCACTGAGGCACAGAGATGGTCCACATCCCTGCAATGTCGAGGCATAGGCAGCAGTGGTGAATGCTGGGAGAATTTCCCACAGAATACCTTCTCTGGGGCCACTGCCTCTCCTCCCCAACCTGCCTCCTGAGTAGCCCGTCTCAGCTGACCCTGGACTGCAGGCCCGAGGTTGGGGTTCAGCGTAGACGTGGGACCGGGCCATCGAGCATCACCCTAGTTCTCCCTGGATACATTGACGTGAGAACAGACGCAGCTGGGGTTACCCCCAATTGGTGTGCCCCCGATTTCCTTCCACAGAGTGCGCAGAGAAAACGTAAAGACCCCGCCCCCTCTTCCCGTAAAACAGAAGGCGGCCTGAGAGCCTTTCAAAGGAAAATCTTTTGATTTCTTTTCCTTGTTGGGGCTGGGGAGGGGTTTGGAGAAATATATTACTCCGTCTAAAAGAATAACTCTGGCTGTGATGAGAGGTTCTGGGCAAGTGCAGACACGGCTGAGTCATCCTGGTGCTTGTGTTTCTTAAAAATAAATCCCCCGCAATGTTCTAATTATAGCCGGGGGAGCCCTTGGAAGAGCCTCTGCCCACACAGTAGTGCCAGCTCTGGCCCTGAGCAGAGCTGGCAGGGACGGAGCGGCGTTTCTGGCTGGGCCTGCAGGCAGGTGGCACTGTGATAACCCACTTCCCCCCTTCGCCAGGCCAGTGGCTGTGAAAGACAAGGGTTTCCTCTTCCAGGCAGTTCACTGGGATTCTCATTTCCTGCCAATATTGGTCTTTTTTCCTCCCCTAGTTTCTGGGTACCTATGGGGACGTAGGAGGGGCAGGGGTACAGCCTAGTAGTCCGCTTCCTTCGGAAGCCCTCACACTACCTGTCACTGCAGAACCACACTGAGCTTTCCGAGGAGGCAGGTTCCCCAAGTGGCTTCCAAGGTGAGGTAAAGCCTCTCCTATACAGAAAAAAAAGACAAAACATGTTCTTCCTACTTATTGATTCTTAGAATGTTGTCATGGTGACTTGAATTTCTGGCCCAGGGCCTTGTCTCTGTTAAAACGAAAATAGCCCCCGGTAAAGGGAACAGAATGAAGCCCTGTCCCCCATTTGCATGTTAGTGAGAACTGGACCAGTTTTTTGAGAGATTTGGGATTTTCAACCGTGGGGATTCACAGATGAATTTACTCGGTCCCGCTCTCAAGCTGATCACAGTCTCCAGAGCAGGCACAAGGTTAGGAAGCTGCAGGATGCTGGAACCGATGAACAAAAGGAAATGCCCTAGGAAGTCAGGAAATTCTTCACGGGAGAAGGGGCGTTTGGGCTGGGCCTTGAAGGGATGACAGAAAGGAAGACATGTGGGAGGGCATTCCGGAGCCACGGTGAGGGGGCAGGCGTGGCCGGGGCGCCGTTCTCCGGTGCGGTGCGGAGGACAGGGCGGTTGGCATCTGGTTAAGGACATGGGCTTTAGATTCTGGGGGCAGACTCTGGCTCTACCACTGACTAGCCATGTGACTTTGCTTTGAGCAAGTTCCCTCACTTTCAGTGCCTCTGTTTTCTCCTCTATTACATGGTTAGTAACTGTATCGACCCCATAAGGTTATGGTGAGAATAAATCCATATAACTCTCCTACAACAATGCCTGGCACATAGTAAGGCCTAATAAACAAAAGCTATTTATAATGGACATGTCTCTGCACCTGGAAGGCGTGGGGGAGCTGGTGGAAATGCTCAGGGAAGGGTTAGAAAACGGAGGCCAAAGACCCCAAATTAAAGTGCATTTATTTTCAAGGGTGCCAATAGAAGAACATGAGTAAAGGTAAATGGTGGAGTGTTAGGAACACACAAACTATGAGAAATGTGGTGAAAATTCTGTTCCACGAGGCTGAGGGGCTCCAAAGTGAGCCCCTGAGGAGGTGGTGTGCCTGTGATTGGTTGCTGCGGGTACCCTGGGGACACCCACACTACAGGGCTGAGTGGGGAGGCTTTGTTCTCTCCTTGACCTACCCTGTAGCCGATCCTGCCACCAACTTTCCAGCAGGCACTGCTGGTGACAGGACTGAGGGAGAGAAAATATAGGTGAGTGCAGATTTCTTTTTACCCCTGAAAAACAATAGTAAGCCGGTGTCTTACCAGCAGTATTGTTATATAGGAAGGGCAGCACATTGAGAGTTTCAAAAGAGGTGTGACTTGGTGTGGAGGAAGGTCCCAGGCCAGGAAGAAGGGTTTAGATAGAACCTGGGTGAGCTCATTGGTGGGTACTGCAAGGGCCATGGGACAGGGGTTGTCTTGTTAAACACAAGGAATTGCTTCATTTTCAGAGACAACCGGAGAGCTGATGAGCCACCAGAGCTTAGGTCCTACATAGGGTTCCAGGGAAGAGATGGCCTGTTAGAACCGTGGTCGGCAAAGCACGGCTCGCGAGCCACATGTGGCTCTTTGGCCCCTTCAGTGTGGCTCTTCCACAAAATACCACGTGCGGGCGCGCACGTACAGTGCGATTGAAACTTCGTAGCCCACGCACAGAAGTCGGTATTTTGTGGAAGAGCCACGCTCAAGGGGCCAAAGAGCCGCATGTGGCTCGCGAGCCGCAGTTTGCCGACCACTGTCTTAGAAGTCAGTCTCTGGACTTCATTTAGGGTGTGGCAGCTTGCCCTGAGTGGAATTGTAGAGAACTTGCTAGAAACATGTTCTCCTTATGTTCTCTAAACATGTTCTCTAAATACTAACCTTCAGGCCTACTTAGCACTCACTGTTCCTCGCATGTGTCCACATTCGCATTGTATTCATGAGTTAACGGAGGGAAATGGGACCAGTTAGGATAACCTTCCCCTGGCCGTGGGGAAGGTTAGCTTGAAGCTGTGGCTTAGCCATGATTCACCGTATGTGAAAGAAGCTCAACTGGGTGGGGGTGTGGGGGGGTGGCTCTTACTATTCTCTGCCTCTTCAGAGAGCCACCTGAAGGGCCCAGCCCCAGCTGTCACTTCCCCAAGAAAGACAGGAAAGGGAAAGAAGGTGAAGGGCACATGCCAGGTGTCCTTTGAACAGGTGTCCTGGTAACTGACGGCCACTCCACATGTCTACTTAGTCCAAGGCGACGCCCAGCTTCAGGGAGGCTGGGAAACATGGTTTGTATTCTGGGCAGCTCTGTGCCCAGCTAGAAATCAGGGCTGTCTTTATTGAGGAAGAAGGAGAAGAGTGGATGTTGAGGGGCAGCTGACAGGCTCTGCCATACAGCGCATTAAAACCATCTGCTAAAAACAGGTGTCATTTATATCCAGGTAAGAAATATATACTTACATAGTCACAGTATTGGGAGAGGTAGTGTGGAAATCATATTTTAATTGCTCTAGGAAAGTAAAGATTAGCTATGAGTACTTCAAACGTAATCTTTGAGAAACTGAATTTTTGATGACTGAATTTTCTAAAAGTGAGGCACACCGAGGCGGGGAAGACACATAAATGCTTCCGTGTAGTTGTCTGTTGGAAAGTACCGTAGAGAGTGTGTTTAGGGAAGAAAGATGTTTTGCCACTGAATGGTTTCGCAGTGTGACCTGCTTTTTCAGATGTATTCTCAAAGGTTCACCTGATGATATACATTCAAGTCTGGAGTAGTAACCCTCTCTCAAAGATAACAGCATCTCTCCTTGAGACCAAGTCACCTGAGACCTCTTGCAGCTGCTGGCTTCCCCCAGGGCACAGACACCAGGAAGCCAAGGTTTCGAGGAGACTCTGGCTCCAATTTTTAGTCCCACTGTAATAATTCTTTAGACCCTTGTGAGGTCCACAAGTTAGAATGTGACTGAATTTTCAGGCTTAAAGTTGAACAAACTCATTCAGCAACCCGTACATCTTTTTGAACTCTAGATTGAAAGCCTGTTAAAATGTTCCTTAAGACTTGTCCTAGCTGGTTTGGCTCAGTGGATAGAGCATCGGCCTGTGGACTGAAGGGTCTCAGGTTTGATTCCAGTCAGGGGCACATGCCCTGGTTGCGGGCTCGATCCCCAGTAGGGGGCATGCAGAAGGCAGCCAATCAATGATTCTCTTCATTGATGTTTCTATCTTTCTCTCCCTCTCCCTTCCTCTCTGAAATCAATAGGAATATATTTTTTAAAATGTTCCTTAAAACCTATAAAAGGTGGACAAGAACAAGAGGCAGAGTTGGGAGCTGAGGCTGGTGGAGTGGGGCGGGGCAAATATCTCAGGATTAGGAAAACGGAGTAGAGGCGGCCCCTGAAAGTACTAAAAATGTTCTTTCTCCGTCCCATCCCTTTGTCCCACCCCGTCTTTTATCCCTAGGCCTGCTCTGCCTGAGAAGAAAGTGGCTGACCTCAGCACTCTGAACGAAGTGGGCTATCAGATTCGGATTTAGGCAAGCCATACCAGCCGGCCAGAGGGCTTCTGTGGTGCTTCTCTCTGCACTTTACCCAGCATCTTCAGGAGGAACTGCAACTATTTATGAAGAACCTGTGGATTTTATTTTTAAGGATTCACTTGGAAATAGAATCTGAGTGAGTGGTAACAACGTAAAAACAATTCACAAAGGGGCAACCATGAAAAGGCTAAAGTTATAAACCCCACTGGGGTTGGACTGTCTCCCTCACTCCTGATGGAAAGGATATTACTGCCACTGTAGTTCTCTATTTTTCCATTTACCCCCATTCTTTTACTTGCTTTCACCATTATCCCTCACCAAGTAAATGTTTCTGAAACCCTCCCTCCCACTTTTGATATAGTAAGGTAACTCGATCAGTATTAATGTTTTTTGCAGCAATAACAGAGGCAAAGATTGGTGGGTGTTTTTTTAAGCCGTCAATATTACCTCAGCATTTTGACATCAGATATGCAAGCTTAATGGTGTTTTGTGTTTTATATATTCTATTTGTATGGGTTCCCCAATATTTCCCATGGGGACCGCCACAAAGTTTGGAATTCTTTCCTGGTGCATACATGTGATGAGATTTAAGGTATTATATGCAGGTGTTTTGCTAAAAAGCACTGAAATTCTCTGGCAATACGGGAAACCATTTTTAGGATCTTGGAGTCACTTCTTTCTTAAAGCATTCACTGACAGCAGCTTTTGTTCTTTCAAAACAAAACAAAAACAGCACAGTGAGAGCTAGTCTATGTTCTGTCACTAACATTTAAACTTTGCAGCCTCTACAAAAGTAGAAGGGATCACGCAGTACTGGGAAAATTTAGCAGTATGGCAATTACCTCCAATAACAAAACTCAGAAAGGCAAAGAAGCCAGGCATGAAACAGCAGGTCTTCAGAAACAGATCATCTTTCTGCTCACATTTCATCTGATCCTTAAATTCTGAGCTGGGCCTTGATTCTGAAGGACTCACTGTTGTGAGAGACGTGTTCTGATGTCTTATATTAAGACCAAATGGGGTGCGAAGGGATTATTTTCCAGTACCTCGCTTTTCAGTATGACCTCATGACATTTAGGAACTGGTATTGGGAAAATGCAATGAATTAGAGAAGCACGGGACCTTTTTGTAAATGGAAAAGTCTTCAGGTCCCATGTTACACCGGAAAGCGTGACTTGGTCCATGAAGCACAGTATGACTATCTGGCCTGCACATGGTAGTTACAGTGACTTCCGGCTGCAGATCATACAGCATAACTCCAACAGCATCCCAGGTCTGTATGTTATCAATAGCAGCTTCTCTTTCATTTGTTTTATCTTAGTAACCACGCCAACTCCTGAGACCAAAAGGCAGAGTTAAGTGAAGTCCGCTAGTCAGCAAAAGTGTTAGTTCAGTCTCAGGGCTTCCCTCTGGCTTTGATGAGGTGGTTTTAGGAAGGGTTAAAAAAAGATGAGAATCTGCTCATTCAGATTCTTTACCTCTTAGGGTGACATGGAGAGCAAAAGGACTTCATTCTCTAGCCATCTGCACATGAACTTGTTACCCTCAAAGTCACTGTTATGACTGGAAAGTATTGTTTTCTAGGAAAAGAAGTCTAATGTCTTTACATAAACAGGAGCAAGTAGGTATACATCTCAATTAAAATAAAATATAGCATTAAGTTAACAATTCTGAACTTAATTGCTTCAAGGATATATTATCAGTCAGCAGAATTTAAAATGAGTTATCTTTGTATATCTTCCCAAGGCAAACCCATTTGCAGCCCATGGCCACGTGCATTTAGAGTACTCAGTAAATCATTTCATTCTCATGCCGAAAACGATACTATCAATCTGAAATTTTATTATATATAAGAAGACTACTTATAACATTGCAATCGTTCTAAGAGCTTGGAATAGGATTTTCTAAGCATTACCTAAGTACTGTCCCAACTAAAATACAAAAAGTCCATAGCTACACAGCCTCTTGTTTCCTACAAAAAAGAGGAAAGTAGGGATATAAACTGTTTCTATTATGCTGATGGATAAACCTTAAAACTGCCAATTGACTTGATGATTCAATTTCTTCCATACTAACTTCTTGATTTTAATCATTTCCTCAAAGCAAGAGTTAGTCACAGAAACATGAAAATTCATGGAAGATGTTTTAGTTGTCATTCTATTTTTAATGCCTATGGAATGTTAATTTCTAAAAGATGTGAGAAAGAAACCAAACTTGTAAAGTCTAATGCTGTAATTTAATATTAAGTCAAAACGAACAAAAAATCATGATATGACTTACCTCCCCAAAATTGATTTTGAAACCGGCTACAATTTAAAAAGATAAAAAATGAAACGGAGATGATTTGAAATCTAGTTTTGAAAAAGTTATTTATGTAAGAGAATTTTTATGCTTAAGCCACTGTGGCAATAAATGCAAAGTTTAAATGAATGACAGGAATCTTGATTTTAGACTCCATGTTGTGCTGTTTTGAGTACACTTTATTTCAAAAAGTGATATTTAGTATTTTCTATACACTCTGAAATCATGAACATTTCACTTTTTCTAAGTCAATTATTTCATAAGGATTTTATTAATAGATATTGGTAAATAGAACTTTGGAAATCTTAATTCAGTATTCTTACTATACCCAAGGCTTTTGTAACCTAGTTTTATGTACAACCTTGTACAGTTTTTTTGACATACAATTCAGAATCTTGTTTATTCTCTTGGACTTTGTTCTGGCCAATACATTTTTTTTAAATCTTTAAGGAAAACTGTGATTGTTTTAGTGGGTATTTTTCTAAGTAAATGACAACTTGTACAATGTATTTTAGAGAATGCCAGATAGTGCATGTTTCAAGTTCATGTTTTTCTCATCACTTATATGTTTATACAGCATGAGACTTTAATAAAACCATCCTGGAAACTTAAGGATTGTTTTTCTTCTAAAAATGTGACATGATGTAATTTTTTTCCTTGTCCACTTACTTGTCCTAGTCAACTAGTTTTTCTCTCAGCTTTGACTTCTTCCAGTTTTCAAACTCTACATTAAACATGACTCTATTTTGGCACATCTTCATTCACTTATATTTTAGCATCAGCCTAAGTAATAAAAGCTGAAAAGGGTAATGGAATAATTTAGAAGAGGCAACAGGCCAGCTTACACAGCTTAGTATACCTTACCAAGAAAACCTCAGACACAGCCCTAGCCAGTTTGACTCAGTGGTTAGAGCACCGGCCCTTGGACTGAAGGGCTACGGGTTTGATTCTGGTCAAGGATTCATACCTTGGTTGCAGGCTTGATCCCCGGCCCTAGTCAGGGAGCCTACAATCGGTGTATTTCAATCTCTGTCTCCCCGTCCCTTCCACTTTCTCTAGTATCAATGGAAAAAATATCCTTGGATAAGCATAACAAAAACACCCTCAGGCACAGATGGACTAGTATAATACTTTATTAGGTAATTTACAGGTACAAAGTGCAAATGACTCGATGTCTGTTTCCCCAACCCCTTATACTCTCTGGATTCTTACATTTTACTCAAGCAAAGGGTTAAAACCAGACTGTGGCTAAATTAAAAAAAAAAAAAAGATATAAAGGACAAGTTTTCAAACATGACTATTATCTTGATATCAAAGGAATAATCAAACCAAAATTTCATTACTCCACAACATCCCTTTCCATTGAGAAGTTGGATAGTACAGCACTTGAGGTTGTGGGAGACTTAGTTTCAGCAAACAGCCAGATTCCATTGCTTTTGGCAGGTAAATAGGCTCTCACAGAGTTACAAACTCTTCTAACCAAAACAGATAAGTGGATAATTAGTTTTAGTGAAGCTTTAAAAACTTGTGAAAAAGTTACATTGACCTTTTTGGCCTCCAGTCCTACAAACTAATACTTCTTCATTCTATAAGATAAAGGAGAAAGCTATTTTATGGATTAACTCAATAAAAATGAAGCAGATGAAAAGGGCCTAAAAATCACAATATATTAATCAGGATATGAAAAACTGAATTTCCACAGAGGTTTTCAGGGATGTTAGTCTGTCATTAATGAATATATATATGTATGTGTGTGTGTGTGTGTGTGAAAGCAGTAATCAAGGAATTTTCATTTTTCTTTCCCAAATACTAAAAGGGGATAATTATACTATCTGCTGTTATTATTTGATAATGATAATATCTGCTAATTAGGACAGATCAGAATATTCTGAAAACTGTGACTAGAAAATCTGGAAAATCCTAGAACTATAGTTAATACCATAAATAAAAGAGCCCCAAAGTGAAAAATTAAACATTTAAAAGTATTTTCTTATAATTTTTACTAGCCAGATCCTTATAGCCCACATGCCTTTTGGGGTATTCATCTATTTTTATTTTTTTATAATGGCAGTACAAAATACAGAAACTTTTAAAGTCCAAGACTATAAAGTAACTACTGCTTTCTAATTTAAAGTGAAGCATTATACTAAGAAAACTCACCGTAAAAACTTTACTAATTCAGTATAATTCAATATAAAATTATTCGGTAAAAATACACATAATTCTTTGATTACCATGTCTAAAAAAAAGAGAAAATTTTCTTTTTATGGTTTAAAATTTTTGATTCAAACACATAGAGCCAAATGCAGAATTATTAGACCTGCTCTTAACCACTTCATAAAAAATATCAGGACTATCTCACACTGCTACATCATGTTAAAACACATTTTAGAAACAAAACACTGAAACAGTTAAAATTACTAAAGAATATTAGATCTCCAAGTCGGTATTTACCCACTAGATTTTTGCTGGCTTCCTCAAATTTCTGAGGCAAAACAAAAATAATCTTATAGCTGCCACTTTGTTCCAAAGACAAGTTTCCTAATAAAATAAATGTCTACAGTATTAGTTCGCTAAAATAAAATCTTCCCTAACCCAGAGATCTTTTCTTGAAACTGAATAGAGAAAAGAAAAAAAAATTGCTAGGGAAATGAAGACATAACCCCAATCTGCCTCCTTAATGGTCTGTCTGTTACAGGATGGAAAAGTGGGCTTGTGTAGTCTTCATCCCACTAATTATGGGACCTTTTACCCCAACAAAATGTAGATATATTACATGTCCCAGGATAGTAACAAGATGGATTAAAATAATCTGTACAATTTTAAAAAGCATTATCAAGCCCCCTCAAAAACACATTGAAATGGTTGGAGACTTGAAAATGACCCAATGATTTCTGAGATTAACTAATTGGGACTTAACAAATTTATGGTCCTCACAATGAAATAAAGCCTTCTGGAAGGGAAATGAGTTGTGGTTTGCAAGAACTCAAAGACACTTTGGGATTCACCATAAAACTTGCCAAAAACATGAAATGGAATTAAGAGGATTAAAGATGCACTATTTTTAAAAGTCACTGTCTATTTTACTAGAATTTAGAATAAAAAATATTTACAATTATTTTACAATAAAGAGCATTTAGATATCATTTGTCAGGAAAATATTCTTTCATTATGAAAACAGAAAATTGTTGTAAACTTGTGTCTCTGATATCAGTTCCAAGCATTTAACATAACCTCTTCAGAAACTCCACGGCGCAAAAATAAACAACATGCAAACTCTTAAGAACAACTTTACAGTCTTTGAAAAAGAATATAAATTGCAAAGAAAAGTATATATATAATCAAAGAAGAGTCAGAGTTCAAGTCTGAACTTGGCCAATAAAGGCAGATGATCTGAAGAGTTGTTTTCATTTGGAAGTCCATTAACAGTCCACAAGTCTTGTTCTGTAAGAAGTGACAGTCTAGCTAGAAGTTTCAAGCCTCCAACCAAAGCAACTTCAGTTCCTACATTAAAGAAACATATTTCATGAAACTGTCAACAGGTTGTAAATTAATCATACGAAGTCTTTTCTTTCTAAACAACAATATAGAACTAAAGACCCCTCTGGAAGTCTAAATGTGGAACAGTTTTCAGAATATGATAAAAATGTTTACTAATATAAGTTGTTAAAAGAAGTTTTTGGAATATAATTAAATATTTGTTGAATGTAACCTAATTATAGTTCTCAAATACACAGCAGTTTCAGATGCTTGTTTTTTTCTATTTAAGATATGTTTTCTATTTCAAGTTCTGAAAATAATCCAGAAGAAAACATCAATGTAATAAGAATGTTAAGACTGATTTGGTATTGACAACTACATAAGAAATTTATCCATCAACCATTCTATAGTTGTATAAAACCAGACAGGCATGGTCAAAGCTAAGTAGAAAGTTTATAAGGTGACTGGAGAATAAATTTATAATCATTGCCAATTGGGTCAACAGGAAAAATAAAAGTGGACATGCTCTTAAATGTTAAAATTAGAGGTGTTGGTCTATGGCACACTTCTGCCACCTAGTGAACAGTTCTTGCACGACAACTACCAGAACCTTATTACAAATTCAAAGGAGCATATTTTGTGGAGCTGATCTAGTGGGGAGGAGTAAGCCATCTCTTGAGTATTACTAATAATGTTATCCTCAGGAGGAAGAAAAAACACACAAAAGGGGAAAAGAAAAGTAGCATCAAGAACTGGAAGCGAAAATAGGGAAAATCAGAAAAGACAACAGCTGCCAACATTATGGACTTCCAAAGTTTTCTAAATGGTGTTTTCTGACTTCCACTTATATGAAACTGCATTTTCTTCTCTATGTTAAATCCTTGGTTAATAAAGTCTTGTTTTCATTGATTCATACCAGGAAATGTTTTATCACCTTTGCTTTTTGAAAACACAGTCACAGACCTCTTTCCAGAAAAAAAAATAGTGTAAGGTCAATATGACAAAACTGTCTATTGTTGGAAGTTTAAGCAAGGTCCTCCAATGAAGGCAGGGTGTGGCAATACATTTAAGTACAAACAATATGATGTTGCTGGCACAATAAAACAGTAAATCACAGCAAGTAAAACAAAAGGGCAATATGAAAGACCTAGAACTCAGAAGGTGACTGGGCTGGAGGGTAGAGCTGAGGATATAATTCCTAGATAATTTGTTTTGAGGTGTTCCACTGTCTCCATCTTTTTCAGGTGATTAAACGATTATTCAAATGCATTACCAATCTGTCAAATATATTACCAATTAAAAAGTATTTTTAACTTGTAAAGCTAGAACTTTATCTAGATGTTTAGCTAATAACTGCCAACTTCAGCCCTGAGGTTTTAGTTACTGTGTTCTGGGCAGAACTTAAGATTCCATGCTTTCTTTACCTGGCTCCCCAGCAACATCTTTCTTTTCCCCAGAATAGAAAATATAATCCACAGTTATGGCACTTCGGGAATGACAGGTGGTCACTTCTGGAATTCCAGTGTCAGGAAAATAATGCGAATAAACAGATGACAAGCTGAAATGGTGCTGTAAATGTGAAGATAACCTAAATTAAAAAGAAAAAGTGTTTAGCATCTATCAAGTTTTTCATGATTTATAATTCCTCCTATTAAAGCACTTTTTCATTTAATTTCCAGACAAAGCCAGACATTAGGACAGCTGTACTTAAACAGACGATATCACAGTTTGGCATTCATGCAGTGATATCAAAACCCATAAACAAGGCTGTGAAGCATGGTGGGGGGGAGCTCAATAACTAACATATGCATGTGATTTATTAATTCTATTCAGAGCCTCCACTTACCAATAAACACACATTCTAAAACAATTTACAGGCATTCCTCATTTTACTGCACTTCACTATTGCACTTTGCAGATGTTCCATTTTTTACAAATTAAAAGGTTTGTGGCAACCTTGCAAGTCTAATAGAGCCAACATTCTTCACCAGCACAGAATATCTTCATTTTTTATCACTTTTTTAAGTCAGTTTTGAGGAACTCTTTTAAACTAAAGTCAGCTAATGTCCACTATTGCTTTTCAGAACTCACTTTTCAGCTGTTGCTAGGACTTCTGTTTTATCCAGCTGTGTTTGTGTCGGATCACTGTCTGTAAGAACAAAGAAAACTACGTATTTTAATACTGTCAATATACTGTTTTATTCTAGTTTGCCTTAGTACAGTCTTTTTATTCTAGCAACAATATTTAAGACATATCTAGTTTAGATACAATGCCTAGTTAAATGTTTCATACTAAAAGCTTTATGTTTTGATGATCTCCAAAATTAGCAAACATAAAATGCAAACATTTCCAAAGCAACATGCAAGTAATTCATGCAAAGATAATTTGGGAAGTTCAATTTTAAAAAGGTAAGTTTAGAGCTCTCTGAATAAAGGAATAAGTAAACAACTTCATGTTTTTATAGTATATGAATATTTATTCCTGAGATGTTATCCCTTTAAAATTTTAGTTTTATGTTCAAAGGGAAAGCATTATGAAGTAGACTGCCAAAATATATTGCAGCCGAAACCGGTTTGGCTCAGTGGATAGAGCGTCGGCCTGCGGACTCAAGGGTCCCAGGTTCGATTCCGGTCAAGGGCATGTCTCTGAATAAAGGAATAAGTAAACAACTTCATGTTTTTATAGTATATGAATATTTATACCTGAGATGTTCTCCCTTCCTCTCTGTAAAAAATCAATAAAATGGAAAGCATTATGAAGAAGACTGCCAAAATATATTGCAAACACTTACCTGTCTTTTCTACTTTTGGTACCTGCTGTACCTCATACACACAGTTCTGTGAGATACCTAGGTTTGGGGGCCAAATTGGAATAGATAAAATTCTTTGTCCCCGTGTAGACTGTTCCTGGCCAGATACCTAAACAAAATTTCAACAGGTATCTTAAGTGAGTAGATTTTAAATAGTTTATGTATTGAAAAGTTTGTTAAATGAAAGGGAATCCAAGAATGATAAATATTACTTTTTATTCATTATATTAAGTGATTATTTGTGCTTATAGGATCTTGTTCAAATACAGTTCAGAAAGCACTTATTTACATGGAAATGGCAATCTTTTCTTATACGTGTTTTTCTTAATTTGGCCACCTAAATGATCTATCACTTTTGACTAATATTGCCCCTCCTTTTTGCTACCTGCAATATAGTTCCTATTATAGAAAATACTAAGAGAGGTAAACTCTTATAAAGTTTTAAACTATCAAATGTCAGTGGTGAAAAACTTACTTGGTTAAATATATGGAAGATCAAAGGATCAAAAGTAAGCAGAAGAGAGCACAATGGAAATAATGGGATAAATGATACTCAGCTATGGAATTAAAATATTTATCATTATGCAAAGGAAATTATAAAGAAATATTAAATTACTGTTTTGCTAACTGTATTCCTCACATCCAGCATTCCAAAGTCTATTCTGCCACCTTGTGAGTAGTTTCTTATTTATGAAGTATTCGTGTTTGTCAACGTTTCTTTTTTTTTCTCTTCCATTTTGGATTTTTTGCAGCCTGCTAATTCCTCCAAGCAGAATGTTGCCACAAATAGATGGAAAAGATGAAATTCAACCAAGTGGATAAAAGTAATTATTAGTAGTCGTGGAAAATCAACATAGGTTGGTAAAGTGAGGGTACTGAATCATTCAAGGTTTCAAACAGGCCTGTGATGACTATCCTCACATTACTGTGAACAGAGAGCCAAGTCCACCTCCTAGTAATGATGACGTGAGGACTTACCTTTCCTATGGCAAGTCCTTCATAATTCAATTTTCCGTCCTTTATGAAACTATAGAGCGGAGAACCAGGAACAGAATTAAAGTCCCCACACATAACAATAGGGTAGAAGCTGCCATCTTTCTGATGGGCAACACTGGAAATCTCTGCCAGAAGCATTGCCAATTGGGTCAGCTTAATGTCACCTCGCCTTGGGTTATACAACAGATGTGTGTTAGCTACACAGATTGCAGGAGAGGCACCACTTGGAATTTTGGGCTGCAAGAGTAACACTAATCCAACATTGTCTCTGTCCAACAGAGGAACATCAGGGCGGTAGAATTCCACTGGGTTCACTGATAAAAGTGAAAATTTGGAATGTTTGAAGCAAATGGCACAGCCATCCGGTTTCCTTCCCGTACGAATCTTGTACTCACAGTGATAACCTATTAAAAAAAAAAGAAATTTAAAACAATTTAAACTGGGATTTATATATATACTAGAGACCCAGTGCACGAAATTCATGCACTTGGGGGGGGGGGTGTCCCACAGCCCAGCCTGTGCCCTCTTGCAGTCCATGAGCCCTTGGGGAATGTCCGACTGCCAGGGAGCGGGCCTAAACTGTCAGTTGGACATCCTTAGCGCTACCTCGGAGGCAGGAGAGGCTCCTGCCACCGCTGCTGTGCTCGCCAGCAGTGAGCCCGGCTTCTGGCTGAGCGCCACCAGGGGGCAGCTCATGTGTTGAGCGTCTGCCCCCTGGTGGTCAGTGCGCATCATAGCGACCAGTCATTCCACTGTTCGGTTGATTTGCATATTAGCCTTTTATTATATAGGAAGTATATACACACACACACACACACACACACACACACACAGCTAATATTTTTGAACAATGTTTACCAAAGTATATTTTGCAAAACAGTAATGTAGGAATAAGTGTTGGAATCAAAAAAGTTTGGGGCTAGGTGTAATAGGTCTCTTTATGGTCAGACTTCAATCTTAAATATGCTAATGTGTAACATCATGCTGTCATTTGCATCCTAGTAAAAGTCAGTCATGACGCCCTAACCGGTTTGGCTCAGTGGATAGAGCGTTGGCCTGCGGACTGAACAGTCCCAGGTTCGATTCCGGCCAACGGCATGTACCTTAGGTGTGGGCACATCCCCAGTGGGAGATGTGCAGGTGGCAGCTGATCGATGTTTCTCTCTCATCGATGTTTCTAACTCTCTATCCCTCTCCCTTCCTCTCTGTAAAGAAATCAATAAAATATATTTTTTTAAAAAGTCAGTCATGACAAAGACAGCAGGGACTTATAATAACCTACCCACCAAGTACCTCTGATCCTTTTGCTCTAACTCTTCCCTTCTTGCTCCACTCCACACACACTAGTCTGCCTGTCTGCCTTAAGGCACTACAACCTTAGGGCCTTTCCTTTGCTATTTCCTCAGTCTGGAATGGTTTAGGCATGGCTTTTTCATTCACCTCCTTCAAGTCTTGCTCAACTGTCACTTTCTCTGATCATCTGTTTACAACTGAAATCTGATTCATTCCACTTTCCTGCTTTTCTCCAGGAAACTACCATTACTTTATGAACTGTTTACACATTTATTTGATTTATTGTCAGCCTTTCTCCACTAGAATGTACACTGCACAAGGGCAGAGACTTGTTATCTGTTTTGCTCACTGCTGTATCCCCACTGCCTAGAATAAACATTGCATGATGTTCAGCAGGTATTCAAAAAATATTTCCTGAATGAATGCAAAGTAGGCAGCATTTCTCAAACAGATAATTTAAAAGTGTTCACTCATCAAAGAGGCTTTTAGTTTCTATCCATTAGGCACGGGTAAACACTTGTGTTATAATAATGACCTCCAGTGGTCAGCAAACTGCGGCTCGCGAGCCACATGCGGCTCTTTGGCCCCTTGAGTGTGGCTCTTCCACAAAATATCGGCTCTTCCACAAAATACCGACTTCTGCGCATGGGCCACGAAATTTCAATCGCACTGTACATGTGCGCATGCACGTGGTATTCTGTGGAAGAGCCACACTCAAGGGGCCAAAGAGCCGCATGTGGCTCGCGAGCCACGGTTTGCCGACCACGGAACAGAATGGTCCCTCATCTCATGGAGCTCAGAATTCTGAGTCTAGTAGTGATGGGCAAAGCAACTCCTACAAAGGAAGCTATTAAGAGATTCTTACACATCTTTCCCTTTGAATTAAAATTACATACCAGCACAAAAGTTTTCGCTTGAAATACGTCAATCTTTTCCTGGCCTTTTGAAATAGGTATTACATTTTTCAAAATTAAGATTTTTGGCCCAAATACGCCACACTTCTTTGTTAGCAAGTTATGCTTTAACAACATACCAATCTTCCAAAGTAAATTTGGCTAAAATAAAAGTTACATTGTACCCAACGATTCCAAACTTGGCCTGATCTCTGTTCCATAATGATCTGCTTGAACTTCTTGCAAACAAAGTACCTTGGAAGAAAAAAAGAGGCTTTGAATTAAAAAAAAGAAAAAGAGAGAGAGATAAATGTTCTGGTGCTCTATCTCTGAACAGACTTTAAAATTTTAAAAGCCTGATGAAAGTTGCAAAATCCTTATTTTTCTTATAATTTACAGGTCAATCAAATTAATGTTACATTTCCAAATTTGACCAGTGCCCCAAGCCCTGGCCTTTAATCACATGAAGCTTTATTACTATACAAAACTTACTATATTCTTAATTTACGCATCAGAATATTTTCCCTGAATTTATACATGTATTAGTACTAAATTCTTCTTGTCCTTTCTTAAGAGGTGATTTCTTTGAAAGTCATTTTTTAGATTTTTGCATCAATTACTTAAATTTAAAATAAAAGGAAATATTTACTAAATGCTTAATATGTTGCTAGACCCTATCTCAGAAGTGACCAATACTAAAGATTTTTGGATCTTTTTGAAAAGTTAGATGATTACTTATACCAACAACCATTAGCAAATGACTCTTTGGAAGTCATGATACCTTGTTAAAAACTGTTCCATCACTATATTTAAATGTCTTCCCTTCTTACAAAACAACAGGGAGAAAACCATTTAGTTTACAAATAAACCATTTAACCCAACTATTACTTGTGTGAAGAATTTAGATATTTTGTACTTACATCTGCATCAAAGTTTTTAATTTCTTTCAGAATATTGGGAAACCTAAAACTCCAGTGTAACACTGGTCGCCGGCAGTGTCTATAGAGGTGTGAATTATCTTCCAATAAATTTTGTGAAAGTATATTATAGGACATCACTGTAAAGTCAAACTTGTTCTCACTGTCTTCACATATGGGGTCAACATTTTTGTCTCCTAGAATCTTCATATTTTCTTTATTATGGTTACATATATATTCCCAATGCCGTTTGATGGTGCCTGTTAAAACATTGGACAAAATATAAAGAATTAATTTTAAAAACAGGCCATATGTTTTCTTGTATATAAGTATTTTCTTGCCTTTTAAAAATTTCCATAGGCAATGAATACAATGTTTTCCCATAGAAAATGGCAATATAGCACTAAATAACCAGAAGTTGTCACCAAATTGATTAAAAGGCTGTAAAATGAAATACTGCCTGACAAGAGGTACACAACAGGTTAAAAGGATGTAGCAAGTCATTCTGAAGATGAAGAGTATGTGTTAATAAAACTAAGACTATACAGGGGTGTGGTTTCTCACTTCTTTATGGTTAAAAAGTGACTTAGCAACTTTGTAACCATAATAATATATTTGTATGTCACTGCTGGCTTTCCAATAAGATCATTTCACATATTTTATTCCCTATTAGTAAGATAAGATCATCCAGTGATTCCATAAAGAACACATCTCAGAATTTTGCTTTAGACACAAATGAAGGGTGTATAATGACAATATATAGAAGCAGTATTTAGTGTCTAAAACTGAAGTGGGACGATGCAAACAAAATGAACAAAAAAAATCTTTTTAATGCATACCAAAGCAAAAGTTACATGTAACATAGTTACAGAATGCTGGTAAATGATAATGGCTGGTTGACGAACCTAGCATGCAGCAACCAGGAATGTGTGATGATTTATATTCTGCAAAGACATCATGTACCCTGAAAAAGTGATGAAAAGAGAATCAAAAAGCATGAGATTTTGCAATTACAGGCAGTCCTCGATTTAGAAATGACCACCATATATGTTTTCACCTTTGATCTTGTCTCCCTCATCCCACCACTAAAGGGCATACTTTAACGGCCTGGAAGCCATGAAGAAAAATGTGGAACTTTTAGAGAATGTATGAACTCAAAAGAAGGAGAAAACAAGAAATGGGAAGACCTTGGAGAAATAAACTAGGAGATGGACTTCCAAGTATGATTCAATAATATAAGAAATCTCAGCCCTAGAATCTCTCCCTTTTCTTGCATGAAGGCTTTTATTTTATTGGATTACACAATACCTAACATTCCACCAATACAGTGGCTTTCAACCTCTGGAGTTTGTACAACCCTTCAGCATTACTTTTCATGTCATGAACATCAATCCCTGGTATACTGGGACTGGGAGTGGAGTGATGGGGTAAATACATTTATCCTGACCACACTGCTTTGAATAAACATACAGAAATGTGTCTGAATGCTAGAGTTCCATGGAAGACAATTTGAAAACCACTGATGGAGTAAATAGTCTTTGGCCTTCATATACTTCACAACATAAATTCATACCACAAAAGCTTATATACCTTCCATGTCAGGAGGAACAAGGTGATCACAGCAGAGAAGACAGATGAATCAAAGAAAGTAAGCACTAGGCCTGATCAGGTTTTTAGGGTGCCTAATTAAAAAGTCTTAATTGTGTCACACAAATCCTTCAAATACCACTTTAAAGTGATAGGCAAGTTAGCAATGCTGTTCTCTTGATTGAAAAGTATTAGTGAAATATCGGAAGTCACAAATATGGCTTAACGAAGAGCATTTTCCTTATTCACAATACCTAGGAAGAATGGACATATAGAGAGTCAGGTTGCAATCCAAGTTTATCAGTGTGTAAATGTAATTCCCCATCCATTAAAGGGAAAACACCACCACCACAATTTTCTGAGTACCTACTATGAAGCCAACAGTATGCTGGGCACTTTGACATATCATTTCATTGCCAACAGGCTTTGAAAGTAAGCACTACTTTACACTAGGAGACCAAGGAGCAGATTCAATAATCTGTCCAAGTTTACACAATTGGTGGAGCAGAATGACAGCAGGGAGTGGTTCCTAAGCCCATGCTTATGTCATATGGCACATGGCACAGCTCCACCTGACAGCTACCAGATTTACAAAAGAGAAGTGTGCTGCCTCAATAGGCGATGAATACATCAATGAAAAGCAATCTCATATCATATAGCCCTGGATTTACAGATTATAGATTGTTCTTAGGAAACTAATTTTAATGCCTCTAAATCTTTCATTGATTCAAACTGTGGTTAATAGATTCTCATTTCTGAGTGAAAATAGATTTTCACTTCTGAGTGCTTAGAATTTCTACTTAAATGTGTAGTAGAATTTCTTCTTAAAAGAACACTAACTAATCTTCTAGCTCTGACTTCCAAGTTAATGTCTTCCTTTGACAAAGTTATGTCTGCTCTCTACACATTAACACCTACACAGCCTACTTTCAATTATCTTCAGAGGCATCATAGCTCAGTCAAGAAGACAAGAAGACAATTCCAATTATATCCTTGGGGGCAGGGTTAGGACTGGCAGCATAGAGGGAGTCTTGTTAATTGTTTTGAGTAAAAAGAATATGAGAAAAACAGGAATAACCAACATATTTAGAAAAAACAGTTTCTTAAAGTTGAATCAGGTATTTTAAAAGATAAAACTTCCCACAGCCTCTCAAGATTAGATCAATAGACCTCAGGATGAAAATACAGATTTCATAAGGTAAAATCCTATTCTGTGAGAAATTATCTTTCAATTGATTATTTCTATTTAAGAAAATTCTTTTGTCTTATTTTTAAAAGTTATCATTTTAAAAAGTTAGCTTAAAAATGAAAACATGAAATTTAGTTTTATAGATCTGTGGACTTCCAATAATACATCCACCAATTTCTAAGAAATCTAAGAACCTTTGTTTCAAAAACACTGGATTTAAAAATTTTCTTCAATTAAACTTAATGTTTTAATCTAGTCCTCCATTCTTTCCCACCTTATCCTATTTGTAGAGTCACTTCTGTTTTTACTGCCAGAAATACACAATTAATTGAAGATAAGAATAACTGCATTTAAAAAAATAATGTCCCTTTTCCTTTCAGAAAACTACTGGCTGGAAGTAAAAACCAAACACCTCTTAAACCTGCAGGAGGTTTTCTTGAAGATTAGGCATGAAAGTTGAATCAGTCCATGGCTTATATCTATTTCTGCACCAAGATAAATGTCACCTTTACCTTGGTGTTTTCTTCGTTTTGATGAAGGCTCATCTCCCTCAGAGTTCATGATGGAACTAGAGAGATGAATCAAAGATGTCTGGCTCAGGCTGTCAGGTCTCCAATTCCAGTACTGAAACTGAGTTCTAGACTCAAACAAACAAGGTGGTCTCCAATTTAATGAGAAATGCCTACTACTGAAGTAGGGGTAAGGAGCACGAGAATAATGTCCAGGCCACCTCATACAACTAGAAATATGTCTGTTCCAGCAACACCTTTGCAGATTCTCCCACGGTGTAGTCCAGTCTCTGCCCAGACTCCTCTGGTGATGGGGTAACATGGGGTATCTAAAAGAAATAAATACACTCCTTGAGGCACCACTTTAGGTTCTGCTACAGTACACAAAACCCAAATCTGTTTCCTCGAGGGAAGACAAGGTCTCATATTTACAATCTGACTTCTAAATCTGTGAAGGAAGTGGGAAAAGCAGCCATCATTTAACTATTAGAGCAGTATATCAATATTCTCCTAAACAACTTGGACTGGTATTCTAAACACTTAATGTAGAATCCACCAGTTTCCAAAACAACACATTCACTTCAAAAAGTCCACCACAGTTCAACTGAGAGCTAAATCAACCATCAGTTTAGCTTTCTGGCATCTAATAAAACTCAATGGACAAATAAAATCCACAGCAAGCATAATACTCATCAAATAAGTATTAAATAACACATAAGCTGACTACAATTAAAGTGAACCTGTCTTCCAACTTGGTTTGGAGTAAAAACCAAACCTGTTTCTGAACAGTTTTTTTTTTTATACCAAAGTTGTATCTTCCCAACGTTTGTATAGCTAAAACAAAAACCGTATCATAACTTCAAAAAAAGACCTCTCTGGCTAATCAGTAGGTGGATAATTTATTTCTCTCTCTCTCTCTCTTTAAAAGCATGCTTTTCCTCGAGGGAAGTGGAAGAGTATAGAGATTACTTACTAGAATTCACCAATTTAACCCATCATCCAAAATATCTCCAAAGTAGCATTACTATTATGTTGAGTAGATATGTTGCTCTCAGGCTTTATTGGGCACCATCTTCTTACTATACTATTCTGGCAAAATATTAGGATTGAGGACTTCTATCCTTCCCTTCCAGAATTCATTAAAGGTACATTTTTCCAAGGTGGTGTCAATAATGTCCACTTCTGTTACCAAAGGAATTTCGCTTAAAGTGTATCTTCCGTTACTTGACTTTTATAGGTTATGCTCTTTTCATTTTAACAACATCTAATTTTTATTATATATTTATGGTGTTTATACATTTTCAAACTGTTCTCTAAATTCAACTTAACTGTAAATCTTTAAAGGCATGAATGGGCAGACTAACATGTCTGGTGACAACATTACCAACAATACATTTTCCATCCTAATAAGCGACCATGTTGAAGTATCATACCTGCAACTACAAAACGTTCTCTCTATTTGCAGTTAACTTTCAGGGAAGGGCAAAAGTAGGTTTACAGTTGTTCCCATGGAAAATAATCCAACAATTTATAACTAATACAAGAGTAAGTTGTGTTTCAGTACTCACAACAGGAAACCTACTTTTGCCCCACCCTGGCAGAGATGTCTTATGAGCTCCTTCAAAGCCAGAACTTTGTTCATCGTTACCATTTTAACCCCCAGCCCTTCCCAAGTGCCTAGCACAGTGCCTGGCACACAGCTGGTACTCAAGAAAACATGGTTGAACCGAACTGTCATCAAGTCCCAGGACGACAGGAGTGAACACCCAATCCCCCCAACTGATGTCATCATTAATACAGGGTGTGCTTCCCACATGGGGGACACGAGCCAGTCCCATACGGCACACAATTAAACCGCTTGGTTTTAAACATCGGATGATTTACTTTAAAGGTGTATTAAGAAAAACCCCCCATCGGTCCATCCAAGCCAAGATTCCGCAGGTAGCTGCTCAGGGCTTCGCTCCTGTGGGCGGCACTTATCCAAGTGCTTTTTCAAGTGAGTCAATTTCAAGAAAAAAAAATCTCCAGTAAATAACACAGGTGTAAACGAGAATTCGGTTGGTACACGAGAGACTCGAGTTTGGGACACACGAACACACCAACCAACCAACCAACCAACCCCGGCGTGTGTGCGGCGCGCGCCTCCTCGGGGTCAGAGCGCGGGACCTATGGGGACCGGCGGCCTCCCGGGACCGTCAGCTTCCGGCCGGTGCAGCGGGGCCTGCGGGGCGCGGGGAGGCGCGGGCGGCCTCGGAGGCTGGGCGGCGGGACAGTGGCCGGGCTCCAAGCCGAGCCTGGTCCGGGGGGCACCCGCCCCGCCGCGGCCGATGCGCTCCGCGACTGGCCGCGTCCTCGGGGCCCCGTGCCCAGCGCCGCGGGGGGGGGGTTTTTATTATTCTGGGAACCTGGGGGGTCACGGGGGGTCTACCCGGAGACCGGGCACCTTTTGCCTTCTAAATCGTCCTAAGGTAGGTGTTTCGTTTTTTTGGGTCCAGTGGGTTTTGCGAGGAATTGGGGACTCCTTCCTGGGGCTATGGCGACCAGGGGGGCAGGGTTGAAAAGAAGTTCTCACGCTCTTTCAAAGGGGTCTTTCCCCCTTTCGTGAAAAGATTGATATTTTCCCTTTAATGTGACCAT